CTATTAAACGAAGCTGCAGGACAGTACTCTCTAAAAAAAAAAATCCAACTAATATCTCCTATTAAACAAAGCTGTAGGACGGGTCCTTTAGACGGACCTATCCTGCAGCACACTATCTAATATTGTTTATCCAACTAATATGCAGGAGAAGGAATAAGAGGGAATAAGAGAAATCCTCCACGCGAACAATAGTAACCACTTGCTCTGTCATTAAATAGCGAGAGTCGGTGCCTGAAGATACTCTTTAAGCCGTCTAGATGATGTCACAAGACCAATTTTTGAATAAAGTTATATTACAAAAATTTTAGAAACATATTTAAAAATTCAGTTATTGCTTCAGAAGTTGACCACTCTTAAAAATGAAAACACTAGTAATTGACCCTCTGTTCGTTAGTAGTTGACCACTTATATTAGAAGGAGGGTTAAAGCAATAATGTTGGCAATCATTTTAGTATCGTTTATTTTCAACAATTACCAGCACAAGTTATAATTAGAGTGGAAAGAATTCAATTCCATAACAAGTTCAATTCGGGAACATGCTCGATTTCGTCGGCTCATTGATATGAGAAACTACAGCCTTCCACTCATAGTCCAGCACATCAGGCTTCTCTGGCCACTTCCATAATCGCCATAATAGTATCTAATAATAATGTTAATAATAATATAATAATATCTAATAATAATAATGTTAATAAGAATATTATAATAGTATCTAATTACAATAATTGCAAAATGGATACATTATAAATCGTAAACAAATTTAAATAACTCACGTCAGTAATTGACCACCCCGGTCAACTTCTAAAAACTATTAGAATAACAAGATTCAGAATTTGACCCCCCAATAAACTATTGCTTTTTGTGGTTAGAATAACAAAAATGTTGCATTTATCACTTATAAAACGCTGTGAAAATTTCAAAAATAAATACTTCAGTCACGAAGAGTTCACAACGTACGGATTTGTTTACCTGAACCGTACAGCTGTTCTTAACAGAAACGTTAAGGAAATAGCAATATAGAGGCATATTACTTACCTTAATGGATTTAGACGTCCGTTGTTACTACGCATTAACCCAAATTTAACCCAAAAATAAATACTTCAGTCACGAAGAGTTCACAACGTACGGATTTGTTTACCTGAACCGTACAGCTGTTCTTAACAGAAACGTTAAGGAAATAGCAATATAGAGGCATATTACTTACCTTAATGGATTTAGACGTCCGTTGTTACTATGCATTAACCCAAATTTAACCGATAGATGGTCTTGGCATGTCAGGTGCATTTTTTTCAAAAGAGTATCACTTATAAAAACCTTATTTTTTACGTTTCTCTAAAAATTGGTCAACTACTGATACCTTTACCTTACTTAGGGTGAATCAGAGGAACGTGCTTTACGAATATTTCAGATTTATCAGAGGAAATTAGATTACCATCGTGGAACTTGAAGTCTCTTAGAAAGGAGAATATTGTCAGTGTTTGTTGATCACTCAGATTTTTACATGAAATTTCTTTAATTTGAAACGAGCTTCCGTGAACTTAGGGCAAATTAGAAAAATGTGCATTAAGACTATTTGGGAATTATATTAACACTTATAGCGCCGGCTATTTTGTTGGAAAGTTTACTTAAAGCGCTGCAATATTTACGAGTTTTGTAGAAACATGCACTTTTACGAAATCGAATAAAGTAACTCTTGTAAAACAGAAAATGTCCGTTGACAAATTTTACATAGTGCTTATTACAGGTACATCGACGAAACTTTCATATACTCAGTGCAGATTAAGAGAACGTGCTTTACGAATATTTGGCAATTATATTAATTGCGAATTAAAGGGCTGGTTTCAGAATGTAGATACGAACGTGCGAGCATTCCATGGCCTATTCAGGGTCTGTTTAATATTACTCCTTTCTAATCAAGATGTGCAGTGGTTATATATTCCATTGTTTCGTAAATTTATTTAATTTTTTTCTGCTAAAACGAGGCACACGTGGCTGTTTAATTAAACATCGGCATCATCGGGCTTATTGAAAGCGTGACGACCTATCGAGTCGATTCTGTGAACACTGGCACGAGCCAGGTAACGCGAAATTCCAGAAACTACGGTGATTTTCGCGACGGAGACGCGAATACGATAAAAATGCTCGTAAAAGAGAAGCATACGGTAAATTTGCTTATGTTGAAGTGCATAAATTTATGGAATTCCGAGAATACGAGTCTCATCTCCCTCTTTTACGAGCGTACATAAGTTTGTAATAACGTGTGCAACGTTTGTTAGTGAAAGAACGAACACTATTCGATAAGTCTAACAATACAAACGATACGTTTATATACATATTCGACGTGTATTTTTCTTTCTTTCTTCGCAGATGGAGGGGCTCCGTTTACAAGCTAATCTGGCGGGAACTACTGGCCTACCTGTTCGTCTACTACCTCATCAATTTAACGTATCGTTATGCGCTGAACGAGCACCAGCGGGTGTGAGTACATGAATACGTTCATTTCAATATCTCTCCTCGCGCTGAAATTTCCTTCGACCGATGGAAAATGGAAGTTTTAACCCCTATGTCAATAATTCTCACTTAAAATATTTGATCTTCCAGGTAAAAGATTTGAATATTCGGCCGGATCGTTCTTATTTCGCACATTTCCTATCCGTGTTTGCCTCGAGTTTACAATGTTCTGTAAGCACCACTCGAAAACAAAGAATTAAAGTCAGGATAGTGTGGTATCCCAAAAATAATTCATTCTGTATTCCTAAGCGATTCTTAAGGTTTCCGGCGTCCGTCTCGCTCGACGGCTATTTCCAGAGTGTCCTCTCCGCGTCGTATCCCACGTTGCTCCGAAAAACCGTAGGAGCCCCCTCGTTCGACTTTCCGGGGAAAGGGCTTAGTTTATGGCACCCTCAGGTACCCGCGCGCTTTCTCTTCCTGGGTGACAAAGTCCAGGCCACCACTTCGCCGCCGGAATCTCGCATTTCTTACAGTTCTTATCGGAAAGCTACTAAAATTGGACGATAAAGTAGACGACAATTCTGGTTGTTGACATAAGTGTTAATCCATAACAACGAGTCAGACTGGTGACAGAAATTCTAGTCGAGACATGACAAAAGTAGTTATATTAATAAGAAACATTCATTATAATCCTAACTTTCGTTTGAATTTGTAACACTGAGAATTACCAAATGCAACGAATCTATAGCAGGTAAACTTTCGTCGGCCGATACAGTACTGGAGCACTGAACGACTGACGCTTGGATGTGAGGTGGGTGAGGAACGTCGTTACACCGTTTTCACCTGAATTTATTAAAGTACAAGTGCGTATGGTCGGCGTACAATTGGTCCAGAAAATACAATCGTTTACTTTGTTAATTGTCCCGGCGGCAGCGGTTCGGCGGGTACGTCGCGATGGTCGGTAAAGTAACAAACTGTCCGGAGGTGTAGGCGTACTGGGTTTTTATATTGTTAGGACAGGGAGACAGGAGTAGCGATAGATACAGATAGAAGTGGAGAAAGTGGTCACTCGAGGACGAAGGCAAGCTTAACCCCTTGCACTACGCTGAACCTCGGAAAAAGCCAGGCCAAACCCGTCCGCCTGAATGGTCGCGAAGAGTGGCGGAGCCCGAGTGCCGAAATTTGAGATACGATATCTTACGACTGAGTGCAACATAGTCGCGCTACGAGCCACGAGTCTGACTCGTGATATTCAAGTTTGGCCTAAAATTTTCATCACGAGTCAGACTCGTAAAAATAGTGCAAGGGGTGAACCCGGGGAGAGACAAAAGAACGGAAACTAAAATCTGAAGGAGTTGGAAAAGAGGAAGTTCGCGTGGAAGAATAGCACGTACCCGCCACAGATGCATAGTCAGAAAAGAAATCATAGGTTAAGGGGTTGACCTTATTAAGTTTGAACCTTAAATAAACATCAGGTAAAAGCACGTATCGTCTCTTTGAAATTGAGACGTACCGTCCTATTCATCTTTCAGATTAGTTTACCGTAAAATCTCCCAAGTGGCAATAACGTCGATGTTAAAAGTTGGAAAAAAATCGAAATAATTCACGTTATCTCAGGTTTTAACTCGCGAAATGTCAAGCGGAGGACACGTGGGTATCTGGTGGCATAATCGCGAACCTTTAGGTCGAGAAACCCACGCGACACCGACCTTGGTCGTGCAACAAAGCCTACTCGAGATTGCAATTCATTGGTTAATGTTAGGTTTTCTGTAGAAACGGTTTATGGCACGATCGACCGGGAACGGTTATTTTAGAGTTGAGGATTTTCGTTTATTGCTTGCACGGGTCTAATCACATCCTGCGAGGGTCACCAGAATTGCTTTGCTAGATTTTCAGTAATTTGTGCCCCTCGCGCTCGATAGCCTACGAACATATCATAAACCACGAATTTCCGAACGGTCCGCTTGCCGATTAGTCACCCGGAGGGATCGACCGGGAACGGTTATTTTAGAGTTGAGGATTTTCGTTTATTGCTTGCACGGGTCTAATCACATCCTGCAAGGGTCACCAGAATTGCTTTGCTAGATTTTCAGTAATTTGTGCCCCTCGCGCTCGATAGCCTACGAACATATCATAAACCACGAATTTCCGAACGGTCCGCTTGCCGATTAGTCACCCGGAGGAAATTCCAGATTTTTGGGACCTTCCGCCCACCCCTCGCGACCCTCTCGCACCCTTCCAAGGTGGCAGCGCGCTAAGGGCGCACTGGAAGGGCGGTGAAGACGATATTAGACACGCTGATTGGCAAATGCAATCGTTAACCATTACCCAATCAGCGTGTCCCAAGAAAAATCCCTCTCACGAACGTCCGAGACTCGACGTCGGAGAGAGTCCACGAACAAGGAGAACCAAGGAACAACCAGCTCACATCACGCGATACCATAGATCAGTTTTTACAAGTCCCAATCATTTGGGTGGTCCTTCGAACCAGTATCTAGACGGCACAACATCGTGCAAACGTCCACATAGCTCGAAAGTTCATCGCCACAACCACGGGCATTAATAGTTAACATCGGCAAATTTACGACAGACTCGCTTTTCATTCGTGTTAAAATATCGTTTACCTCGTTTCCTTTGCTCGAGCTTGTTTAACTCTCTTTTTTCCGCTTCGTTTTTTACGATCGTATTTATCACTCGTTTCCCCGTTCCGCGGAATTTTACGATGGTCGCGATGAGACCGTGGAAGTCGTCCGCGAATCGAAACGTCTATTAACCATGATAGTAAAAATCAATTTACGCAATTGCGAGTGGAGCTGTCGATTCATTTAAAGGGACACTTTTTACGGCCGCCTGGAAGTCAGGCAAACCACGAAAAGTGTTTTGCTCGTTAATAACAGATTTAAATATTTCTAAATGACGATTATCCGCGAAAAGATGTCTCACGTTTCTATTTCGCGTGTTGATACCGTAAGTAAAATGGTTTCAGGAAAGGAAATATTTTACGGTTCTATTATACATGCAGATGTCGTAAATAAAGTTGTTTCTTTCGCGAAAGAGTATCATTGGAAAAAAGGTATCTTACGTTTCTATTGCGCATACAGATATTATAAATAAAATTGTTTTCTCCGTGAAGAAAGTATCGTTCAGGGAAAAAGATAATTTACGGTTCTATTATACATGCAAATATCATAAATAAAATGGTTTTATCCGTGAAAAAGGATCATTTACGCTTCTATTGCACATACAGAAATTAAAAAGTCTTATTTATCTATCAGAAATCAAATTATTTCTTTCGCGAAAAAGTATCATTCAGGGAAAAGGATAATATACGTTTCTACTGCACATGCAGATATCATAAATAAAATTGTTTCGTTCGCGAAAAAGTATCACAAATAAAATTGTTTCCTCCGCGAGAAAACATCATCCAGAGAAAAAGATGTCTTGCGTTTCTATTGCACATGCGGATGGATATCCTAAATAAAATTATGTCTTTCGCGAAAAAATAAGATTGTTTCTTTCGCGAAAAAATATTCAGGAAAAAAGCTAATTTACGTTTCTGTTGCACATGCAGATATCGCAAATAAAATTGTTTCCTCCGCGAAAAAATATCCTCCAGAGAAAAAGATATTCTACGTTTCTGCCCCACACTCGAATGTCAGATATCGTAAATAAAATTGTTTCCCCCGGATGTACAAACCATACAAGGTGTGCGTTTTGCACAATACACGCCGGAATGCGCCCGAGACTCATCCGTGGCCGGTATTAAAAAACGCATAAAACTGTAACCTGTTATTTATGCGGAGATTAAAAAAACGAGCGAAGAAGATGCCGTGGCTGGCGGATGTTAAGAAGGTCCCTCTTCTTCCTTCAGCCAGTTTCGATTCGCCTGTTCTAAATTTAGAACCGTAAGGGCCGGTTCGTGGCTGGCTTAGGGCCATGTCCGGCCCCGAACAATCATACCAGAGGCCCTCGAAATCGGAACGAAGCCCCTCTCGTATAATTCACAGATTTCGTGCGATAAATTTCGATCCTTTAATGGGACTTTTTTATTCAGAAATTCCCACCCTATGGCATTGTGTTCCTAGAACTTGGAAAAAACCGTCGTCTGTCTTTAAATCGCTTTTAAACATTTTTCTACGACTTTTGTGCATTTCTTATCATTTTTATGGCTGAGTATAGTAGTGAGCAAAGATTCTAATACAGCGGTAGTTCTCGTATATTTCACAAATTTCGAACGAGTCTTTTTCATATAAAAATTCCCACCTACTAGCATTCTATCCTAGAATTTACAAAAATACTGTCAACAATCTTTAAATCGGTTTTGAAAAATTTTCTGTTTAACATTTCTATGATTTTTATGGATTTCTTATCATTTTCATGGCTGAGTATAGTAGTGAGCAAAGATTCTAATACAGCGGTAGTTCTCGTATATTTCACAAATTTCGAACGAGTCTTTTTCATATAAAAATTCCCACCTCCCACCACTCTATTCCCAGAATTTACAAAAAACACTGTCGTTACTCTTTAAATCCTTTTTTAATATTTTTATTTGCTATCTTTACGACATCCGCGATAGACCTCTTATCATTTCTCCAGCTAAGTCCGAGAGCAAGCAAAGATTCAGACAGAGTGATAATGAAAGCAACGAACCGAGTCGACGAAAGTTCATCAACCTGTCCTGAAATAACGTAAATACTCGCGTAGTGAAAAAAAAAAACAAACGACACAGTACCAAAAATTAACGTCGAAGCATAGCTAATCGTAATCGCCGGTCCTCTGCCGAAACGTACGCAGTACCGCTAACAGATTTTCGCGTGCAGCTGCGAAATCCTAGTGGAAATTCCCATTTACCTGGAGTTACCGATACGTAAGACCGGTAGTGGTTGTCTGGACGAGTGACGGTATCACCTCAACCTTGCTCCACTTGTAGGCGAGGCGGTGTTATATACGAAGTATACGAACCGCACGTGATACACCAGCAACTAAACAAATATTTAACCGTGGTACACAATTTGTGCAAACGTTCGATTCACCGCGCGGGATCGTGACTCCCCGTTAATTGCCCCTTAGAACGGAACTTCCGCCGAGTTCGTACGAGAGAGATAATGTAAACGCGAGAAACGGTTCACGGTTCAATAAAGGATTCGTGACGATTGTCTGTTGCAGAATCTTCGAAAAGATCAGATACTACTTCGGGAACTCGAGCGAATCGATACCGATGTCGTTCGTGCTTGGCTTCTACGTGAGCCTGGTGGTGAAACGATGGTGGGAGCAGTACAAATTATTACCCTGGCCCGACAACCTGGCCCTCTTCATCAGCGCTGCAATTCCTGGTAACGTAAGTACGAAAATCTTTCACGAGTCGCTTTGATTTAACCCTCTTGGGACGTAAAGCCCGATACGGAGTCTACGAAACTCCTCAACTTCCGGTTAGTTTATGAATATTACGAATATTAAGTTACGACAACTTTTCCTACCGATTCACCTTTATTACACGTTTTCCTAACGAGCATTGTACAGGGTGTCCCACGCAACTGGAACAGGCTGTACCTCCTAAACGGTTGGGAATAGATGTTATAAGTAGAAGTTAAATGGTATCAGACGGTGCATAATAGTGCACCAATCGATGCAGTTTCTTGTGCTCTACATAAAAGTACTAACATACTTATGCCCTAAAGTTATTCGTTAGGAAGTTATCGAAGCTGAAAGTTCTCTGATTATTTCGTTCTCTTTGTCCCACGCAACTGGAACAGGCTGTACCTCCTAAACGGTTGGGAATAGATGTTATAAGTAGAAATTAAATGGTATCAGACGGTGCATAATAGTGCACCAATCGATGCAGTTTCTTGTGCTCTACATAAGAGTACTAACATACTTATGCCCTAAAGTTATTCGTTAGGAAGTTATCGAAGCTGAAAGTTCTCTGATTATTTCGTTCTCTTGGTAAGTGTTCCAGAGTACCTATGTTATGTTCCATTCAGAGAACTTTTAGCTTCGATAACTTCCTAACGAATCAGTTTAGGGCATAAGTATGTTAGTACTTTTATGTAGAGCACAAGAAACTGCATCGATTGTCAGAAACAAAAAAAAAGTGCAGTTGCATTTTTCTGATGCACCGATGCACAAAAGTGCATAAAATTAGTTGCATATTATGCACCGTCTGATACCATTTAACTTCTACTTATAACATCTATTCCCAACCGTTTAGGAGGTACAGCCTGTTCCAGTTGCGTGGGACACCCTGTAGAATAGAGTGGTTGGTTGTGTTAACCCTTTCGACTCCTTTGTCGAGTGTGACTCGAGATCAGTTTCGTTCACAGGTACGAATGAAGTCATTTTTAAATTGCCAGTTTAAATATGTGTTATATTTTGCAATATTTTGTTTACCTGGGTGAGCAATAGGTACACATGACCCTTAATGCTATTTTCAATATAATTAGTAGAAAACGTTGTTTAAATTGCTTCCTATCGAGAAAACGTCTTTTGAAGTGCATTTCAAACAAAATTCTTCAAACAATAGGGAGTTATTGGAAAGAAACTTTGCAGTTCGAAGAGTTAATTTCATTTTAATATAACAATGTCGAGTTCTGAATAGAATGGAAGAAAATAAAGAAAATAGAATCAGATGTAAGGATATGGTTGAGTGAAGATAGGGACGCGGGCCGGTTTATGACCTTTCGGTCTGCGGATGAACCCGGTCCCAACGCCTGTAATTTCATTTTAATATAACAATGTCGAGTTCTGAATAGAATGGAAGAAAATAAAGAAAATAGAAACAGATGTAAGGATATGGTTGAGTGAAGGTAGGGACGCGGGCCGGTTTATGACCTTTCGGTCTGCGGAGGAACCCGGTCCCAACGCCTGACTCCCCCACGCGCTAAGGGCTGGGTCAGGAAGGACCCAGCCACGTGCTTGCGGTCCTTGCCGGGTAGAAACCCCCAACTTGCGCCAGGGTTTCACAAAGGCAGGAGAGGGGCGTCAAAGCCGGCATATAAGGACGCGTTAGGAGCACTACCGGGTAGAAACATAAGAACTATAAAAATTGTAAGGATTGCAGGAGAGTAAATTGAGCCGCTTAGTCAACGACGAAGTAAATATAGTTTTTTTTAAATTATCGAACGAAGCACTGTTTAAACTGAAACCCCTTACACAGAGGAGTCTCTGAGACTCGACACTAGAGGGTTAAGGAGAGGTAATACACTCCTTAAGTGGCAGAGATTCTGGTCGAGATGTGGGAAAAATAGTTACGTTACTAAGAAAAGTTCATTTTAATCCGGACTTTGTTTTAATTTGCAAGACTGAGGATTACTAAGTGATCTGTAATATATTAGCTTTTGTTACCTAATACAGTACTGAAATATTAAGGGGCTAAGGTGTCCGAGGACTCTCTCGCGGTCGAAACTAAATAGGAGTGATTTTCAAGTGCAAATGCAAATGTTCAAATCTCGCAATTAATGTGAAAAACAGAAGTGTCCACGGTTTCAATGCTCTCTGTTCTAGATTAGCGACTTTATAAACGGCGACCCTAGTCTCGCACGAACGAACGATAAACGCAGTCGAAGGTATAGCGTTCGTCTCATTACGCTAATGAATTGCCGTGACACGTTTCAGTGTCGTTAACCTAAGTAGGTGCCAGCTCCTCGGAGTCACGCCACACCCAGCAGCGAAAAAAGAAAAAAACGAATGCAGAGAGCGCGATCATCCCATAATTGGCAAGCGAATCTTCTCGTTTCTAGAGCGTAGTCGTCTGGCTAACGGATAAACGAAGTAACAGGACGATAAAGCGAAGTCTATCCCGATAGAGATACGGTGCCGCGACCCTTGGCACGCGATTCCCTTACCTCTGGCACACGTGTCCGCGCGCGACCACGCTGCAGCGAGAAATTGCCGCTCGTTATCGTTACTTTCTCTGATCGTCTGAACCGGTAACGAAAGTTCGTTTCTATGAACGAACGCCACCTGCGCGTGTACCCTCGAAATGTGATTCCCTCGGAGCTTCGTGTTACCTCATCGTTATCTAACGATTAAGCTTCCCTGCATTTGGCGTGTCGAGTGTGAAAGAGTTAAGAGTAGGTATAGACACGGCGGTTTTTTTGTTTTCAAGGAACGGGTAATAGGGGTGATTTAGCAAAGTTGAAGATGAGACTTGGTAGATACGAGGTTCGAATTCGAAGGTATCTTCGAGCTGCGTGTGGTCAATGACACAATGTCGAAGTGAAAGTGCAACGTGTATATCGTAGCGAGAAAGAAGGACGAACCTACGCGTTGTGCACACCTCGTGTGAAAGAGAGCCAGCGTGGTTTGTCCTCGTTGCTCTCTGCCGAGAGCAAAACTACATCGCTCCGTAAAATGTGCACGCGGAACGTACATACACGTACACCGCCCCAGCTGGAAGCTGGTGAACGCATACCACCGGTTGAAAACTGGCTGGAAGGTTTTCCGTGGCTACTGGTGTCGTATTAATAGAACGATCGTCTACTAAAGGACTTTAGTAAGGACTTAATCGCTTCCTCGTGCGACGTTCTCCTCGACAGGGAGTTCTCCGACGTTGTGGGCTCTCCCCAAGAACGTTGTTACGTGCTGGGAAACGTTGGCGAACGGTGATCGTCGTCTTTGGCGAACATAATGCCCGGTTCACACTGGGAAGAAGTGTTCGCGAGCTTCTCTCAGACTGTTCGCCAGCAGTCCGCGGGCAGTTCGCGGGCAGTTCGCGAGCTTCTCTCACACTGTTCGCGGGCAGTTCGCGGGCAGTTCGCGAGCTTCTCTCAGACTGTTCGCCAGCAGTCCGCGGGCAGTCCGGGAGCTTCTCACAGACTGTTCCCGAGCTTCTCTTAGACTGTTCGCCAGCAGTCCGCGGGCAGTCCGGGAGCTTCTCACAAACTATTCGCGAGCTTCTCTCAGACTGTTCGCCAGCAGTTCGCGGGCAGTTCGCTAGCTTCTTTCACACTGTTCGCGGGCAGTTTGCGAGCTTCTCACAGACTGTTCCCGAGCTTCTCTCAGACTGTTCGCGAGCACGAGCGTGAACCCGGCATAACGCTTGTCCCACCTTCCGATTTTCACGCGATACCCAAGAAAGTTTAGAATGCACACGAACGAACGAAGAAGAGCGAACGATAGAAGTTGCAACTGAATTTCTGCACACATAAGAACGAGCAAGGTCTCGAGTGTAGGAAACGGGACTCTAGTTTTCTACATGTATGTAGAAGAGAGCCGCTCGCTCGGTCATGTGGTCACGTAACACAAACTATCGGATTTGTGAATGAGCAGCGTCGAGTGGGCAGCACGAGCTTCTGGGCTGTGCCTTTCATTGAAATCTAATTGGAATTCAGACCCCGAGGCGAGAAGGATGCCTCAACTCCCACCTTCTCTACCGTGAGGAGGATCCTTTTCAAGCTGCCAAGCCGTGCATTTTTACACGCGCGACGTTAAGTCGCGGCATTCCGAGGAAGAAGGGACACAGTGTCTCTGTGTTTTCAGCGGAGGAAACACGGAGGGGAGAGAAAGAAAAAGGACTCGAGCTGTTCGTTACAGAAACACCAATGCCTGGGAAGAACAGTCAACGATCGATGTTTCATCAAACCTCTCGACAACTTTTACATATGAAACCTACATATAGTTGGGGCCACGATATAGCGAGGTCGTAAATTAAACTCTCAAGAATCGGCATCGATTGATGTTGCAGCACTCAAGGCCGTGTGTTGCAGTCTGTTTGAGGGTTCCAACAATAAACGAATGGTAGCATATGATTTGGTACTTCAAGTAGAAAATTGTATTTCATTTACAAATGGAAAATATGTTAATATTAAAGCTACACAAACTTTTCGCACTTTCTATCTGTATATAACACGAGTAGATAAACTAAGATGCTAAAGACATCAATAAGACCTTTACCTGTAACCGTACTTCCAAAAGCGGCTTCCCCCAGAGGGAGAAACCCTAATTTGTCCTAGCTGCATGCATATTAGAATCAGTTGACTTTCGCTGGATACAAGAATTCTTCGTACGGTCCTGACAATGGTTTCAAGTACTTATCTGCTCGTATCTCTGTCAATTTTCGGGTCCCGGCAGCTAAAACATGTTTACTTTGACGCCTGACCGATTTTACGACCTCGCTATATCGTGGCCCCGACTATACTTTTCTACACCGTTATTCGTTTACAATCGTACAGATTGACGAAGAAGAAGAAAAAAACACAGTCCATTTAGAGTCCTACGAACAGCGTAACCTTTAAGATAGATTCCTAGACGCGAGTTCCAGATGCCTGAAGAGATTCACAGCGTAGCATCGCTCCGGGCAAGGAATTCAAAGAACCTCTACGAAGGTGAAAGTAATTAGTCTATAACTATCAGCCATCGAAAAGAAAAAAAAAAGGTTACCTCCTTATTCGACGTGGAGTAACCCCAATTTTTTCCCCCCTCGAATATCTCCGAATAACCAATACGGGGACGTCGGGAACGAGGGTAATGGTGAAAAGTGAATCTCTGAATTGTACCGAACGCGTGAGTGTGCACAGCGAGTGTACACCGAACCGTGGCCATTCATATTTCGTAATTAACGTAAAGCCGAAGAAAGTGTAATTCGACCGTTAAGAGTGGAAATGAACGGGCTGTGTCGGAACGTTGGCGGAACACGCGAACGTAGTTGCAATTAATCAAGAATAATCACGTTTCCTCCGCTTTCAGCACGGTTGCGACTTTCTTCTTCAGATCGCTACCTCGGATCGTTCTAAATCAGGCACGTGGCCTTACCAAGTCGTTACGTTCACCGGTCTCTCTCTCTCTGTCCACGTGTTATTAGCCGGTCGAAAATTTTAGTTTCGACAAACTTTCTTCTTACCGTTGCATGCATTATATCGAGGCGTACGAGACGTGCCTCGATCCACAAAACGCTTCGTCTGAATCTCGTCGTGCTCCACATACGTAACGAATCGGGTTGATCGGCTATTCAATTAACGATTACCGACGCGATTGCCAACGGTGATCGAGAAGCTAGCTGAACGGTGAGAAAACCCCGATCGTGTTCTCACCTGGGAATTCTATTCTCAAGGAAACAGAACGAAGCGACGCTCGCCGAAGACGGACAAGTCTCTTCTTTTTCCGCTTGGGGAAATTTTCGATACGGTCGGTTGGCTACGATTTCCGTCCGAATTGACATTCCATCGAGCTATGCACGATCGTTCACCGCGGCGCGGCGCAGGCTCGGCGCGGCCGTTCATTACAAAACGCGTGCACACGCGCGATTACAAAATGCCGGTGCGTCGCCGTCGTTTGCCAGAAAACGAAAGGAAAAATAGCCGGCAGGCGCCACCGTGGGTTTTTCTCCGATTAATATTGGAACCGGCTCGAAACGGATTCGCGATCACGGGCCAAAAGAACACAGGGGAAAGTGTGTACAAGGCAGGAGGAAACGTGTCCGGCATTCGCGCGACCGTAGGAAACGAGCATCTTTTTTTCTTCAGCGATCTTCAACGATACCGAGTTCTACGTCGTTAACCTATTTCGAATACGTTCTCCCGCTTATTTCTTTAATGTATGCTTCGAAATGTTCCATTATGCGCGGGAGAGAATGCCGTTCGGCGGCCTTGAACGACGTAGAGAGACAAATAGCAGAGGAAATGTCCGTTCTGTTAACTGGTTGAAACTCGAAGAAATTTCTGTAGGATTGAAACGATTTCTTGGTTATTTCGTCGATCTTTTGCCTGAAGATTGTTTTCCTAACTCTTTGGTTCAGGAAACTTCGGTAAACCGAAATTTCTATTTCTTTCTCATTTTTGCAAGTTTGTGGGGGTGTTAAGCACTTGGACTCTCACTTTCCGCGTACTTACGAATTATTACACTTGGTGCTTTGAAAGGCATACTGTGTGTTAAGCACTTGGACACTCACTTTCCGCGTACTTACGAATATTGCACTTGGTGCCGTCTAATGAGTTTATCTTTCTCAATTTACACTAACTAACAATGTTCAGATGACTGATTTTAGTGGTTGAGACTGCTAATGAATGGATCTCGCTGATTCGAGATCCTACTAGTTAACTCTTAATGTTCGAAACTGACAGATCTTGAACTAATAGTCTGACTGATACTGAGCTAATAGTCTCTGAATGATATTGCACTAATGGTCTCTAACTGATATTGGACTAATAGTTTCTAACTGATACTGGACTAATAGTTGTTGAATCTCGCTGATTCCACTCTCTTTTATTTGCTTGTCCCTTCTCCAAATTCTCCCAAATTTGAGGAAGGGATGCAAAGGGAGGTTCTTAAAAATGCTAATTGACCAACCCCGTATCACCCCCTTCCATTGCGCCTGGAGCGCGAAATGTCCTTGGAGCGGGGGTGACGATGATGGTCGTTGCGAAGCGAAGTTTGGCAACAAGGGGGAAAATCCAGCCAGGTCAACGCTGACCTTCCGTCTTGCTCGGAAGGGAGTTTACCAAGTGGCCTCGGTAATTACATCGGTTTTTTTCGAAGACCCTTTTGGAGATGACTTTATGGTATCTTGCCTTGCTAGCTGAACAATAGCCTATTCTTTAATATTTAGAAAGTCTAGGTGCCGCATGTTGGCTGCAGACCGGTCTGCTAAATTAAAAATAACGGTTTACTGAAATAAAGTCACGTATCATAAAATCGTTCCCTTGCTGTCCTAACAGGGGGACTTTAATAGGAGTGTTCACGCGGTTCGCGACCTGTTGAACCAGCGGGATTCCCTTACGAACTCTTATGCAGGTAAGGGATAATTGACTGAGAATGGGTTGGATTTTGTAACACTCAATTATTATTTGCAAACATTAGTGAAATCTAAGCTATCTTAAAACTAGGAGTCTTTAGAGGGTGGTGGTTGATATTTTAACTGATCTAACCTATCGGTTAGAAAAAATGCGGAAGGAGAAACAAAATAGCCACCCCCAAGCAAACCGTCACTCTCAGGTAGAACACGTGCTCCCTGGGTGACCGTCGCGAAAATCCGCTTGCCTCGAAACCCGGAACGGTACAGGTAATAAACTTATGAAGCACTCTGAGGTGAACAATACATGAAAGAAACAAAGTAAAATTCTAAACCTCGGTCATCGGTGAAAAAACAGGGACTTATAAGGAATGCGATGGAGAATCAATGGCTTCATAAAGTTATTGTCTCTACCGACGGGTCAGGATTTGGAGAAATACTTGAACGATGTAAAATTTAGAAATCCTGACCCGGTTTATGGAGGTCTCTTTCCCCTTGGGGTAGTGTAGGTATGTGCCGCGTAACAAGGAGTGTTGGGTAATTTTTGGTTCTTCGGGGTGAAAGCACCTCTATTTTTCTCTTTATGACAAAAACTATGACGGATATTTCCTGTACTAAGTGTTTCCTATACTGACCTATACTAAGATCACAATTTTTTCATTTAAACAACAAATTTTGTAACAATCTGATTGCACAGTGTTACAGAGCATAAAAAACTATTAAACTTTTTATATCCAGCATAGTTTTCAAGAAGGCGCACTAATTTTCAAGGGGTGTTTTCACCCTGCAGAACCAGAAAAATAGGAAAGAAGAGAAATTGCCTGATACTTCTATCGAAGTCTCTTACAAACTTGTAAAACAGTTTCCAAACTGATTGTGAGTTACGTAAATACAAGTGAAAATACGATTCGGTCCGAAATTGAAATTGGAGCTAAAATGAAACTTTATTACAAATGCCATACGTCATTTGTCATATCGTAACCATAATCTGCATAACGAGTGTGTCACGTAATTATATAAGAGAGGGGGTTAAACATTCTTTATGAAAATTCCTTCGTGAAAATATTTAAACTTTCTGCCAGAGGCATTACGATGATTTATGCGATCGCTCGTTACGTTATTTTTCAACGATCATTAACGACGGAATTATCGCTGTGGGCTGGCGTGCACGCACCTCGTGAACGTTCCAATGCCCGAAGCGAGTCGTCGACGTCGTCGTCGTTCGGGGCAATAATTTTGAAATGTTTTCACATTGCAGGACGAGAGAGGCAGACTGATGAGGAGAAACATCGTGAGATATGCAGTGCTCGCCTATGTCATCACGCTGCAGAGGATCTCGTTGCGAGTTAAAAGACGATTTCCAACGCTTCAACACATCGTAGATGTTGGTCAGTGAGTTAACCGTTTCCTTTTACCCGCTGTTTTATCCTATTCGACGCTACGAACTCGTAGGATAGTAGTGCAGAGAACCCTCCCATAAATTAGGAAA